AATGTTGAAACACATAAAAGAGGCGCCAAAAATTTATTGCAAAAAACTCAAAAGATCAAAAGAATCCAAAAGTTTTCGCAAAAAATTTTTATTGTTTAATGTTCCTTTCTTCGAATATTTGATTATTATATTCGAAGAAATTCGAAAAAGTTTATAAATATTCGAAGGAAGGAAATAAACAATAAAAATTTTTGGAAAACTTTTGGATTCTTTTGGATCTTTTGAGTTTTTTGCAATAAATTTTTGGCGCCTCTTTTATGTGTTTCACATTCGCTATGAAGAACAATAACCGCGCTGAGAGGTGGGCGGAGTTGCTCAGGCGGGGCGTGCAGCAGCATTGAGTGTTGTCCGCTTAATCAACTGCCCAATGTGAGGGGGAGGGGTGGTGTCCGATCCGGTTGAAAAGAGGGGGGGGAAGGGGGCGGAGTGCATGGCGAGGAGCGAGGCTAGCGTTACGCGGACGAGTAACTTCGTCGGCTGCCTTGCTCTACCAATGGAGATCCACCAATGATCGACTGGTGACTAGGAAGGAATCAGCAACTGGGGGCGCTAGTGGAAACCGATGACTGCGATCGAACAGTTCGTGTCTGCACATATAAAGTTGTTCACTGAAGTATACTCCTCATCATTACGGACTGTCGGGGCGGGTCAGTGCGGCTGCGTTTTCCGCGGTTCCAAAGTCTTTCTGCACCAGTTGTTGAAGCGATCAAATGACATAACAGCATTATATCCTTCGTATTACTCGTTTTCTACCACTTTTTGTCGCATACGCGCTTCAAAGAAAAGGCCTGAGAACGGCTTTCAAACAGTGTGCGCACTCCTTCTGGCCGATTACGCCCCGACAGTCCCTAATTGATTGAGGCAGTGATACAATACCCCCTTAAGCCTTCGCAAAAATGACGAAAAAGACTGCGAATCGCGTTCTTTTTTCGTCTTTGTGCTATAACTCAGTTCGGCCGCTGAATTCCTACACAGAAAGTTGTACCGTTGGACTCAGCTCGTTTAGCTCTACAAGATGATCCCTTGAAAATTCGAAAATGCCCAAATTCGAACTATGCCTTCCATCAAAGTACCTACGGGCACTCATTAGCGGGCGAGTCTCGCTATAATTGTAACCAGGGGGCATTCGCTTGGAATCGAATAATTCAAGGATGAAAAACGTACCGTATCGCGTAAGAAGTGATTAAAAATTAGATAGTTGTGTTTCTCAAAATGATTGATCTCGCCTCCAATTTTTTCTGAATAGAGGGGTTTTGCTCGATGTCACTTTCGGACGATATGGCCTTTTCAGATCGGAAAATCTCGAGCATGGGTTTAGTGCTAACCACATGAGCACAGCTGGCGTCATATATTGGGCCTTCTTTCCCCCCAACATTCATAAAATTCAAGAACGAAGTAAAAAATAAGGGTTTTCCAGCCACTTGAAGTGAGCACTTCGTGCGATACCAGGACAAATGCTAGATTTTCAGCGTTTTCAAACGGAATTTCCAGCGCTCCGAGTGGCCCCATGCGGTCCATAAAAAGGCTACGCACAGAAGGCCTTGTGCTTTCCGAAAAATTGGTAGAAAACTGTGGCATATTTTAGAATGGTTGTCATTATCGGGTGCCAACTTCAGGGATCCCTTCAAAAGAAAAATACACGTGCTTTCCATAGGAAGAAAATCCCAGTCCAAGGGCATACCATTCGAATCCACATGAAAAATGCTATTCATTCATATGAAAATCACCTCATGCAACTTTCTATGACTTTTCATAGTTTCCCCGGCTATCTGCCCTGTCAGCGATCAATCGACCTCCCAAGTGGTTATCCCACCGAGGTGTCAAGGCATTGTATTGATTAGTCTCAGTAATTTTATCCACTAACGTGTCTCATCTGTTCACTTCTTCGCAGAAGGTTGGGATGACTGCCGTTCTGGAGAATTCCTCCTCTTATTTCAAATTTCAATTTTCATCGAAATTTCAAAAATTTTGAACTTTTAATTTCAGAATCCTCTACCATTGATTATGGTCCGTTTTGATTAGAGGATGCGCCAGTTTTGACTATGCTATACAGCTTTGAGCGATGATTCTGCTGTAGGGTTTACAAGGGCGTACGTGTCAGAAATTCTCAGCTGTTATCCTGGACTCCAAATAGAATTATGGGAACATTTAGTAGATTATTTGAGTTGAAGTGGGTTATTTGAGCCTCGTATTGGAACCCACATTTAAACAGGCTGTAAACTCTCAAGCGCACTCAGCTCGTAATCAGTTAATAATGTGCGAAAAAGCTCCTAAGGTAATACGCGCACCGCCGAGGTCGACGGCTGCGGCCTTCATGCAAAGGACAATGGTAGAGAAAGTAACTATTACAATATATTGGTAGGTGGTATGAAAATGGTAGATACTCAATGTAATTTGCAAAACGCAAAACTATGGCAACTCCCGGAAATTAAATTCCAATTCAGAACTGTTAAAACACCCAATCATTTCTGCTTACTGTGAAACCATTCGATCGCCTTCAAGTACAAGAACTCAGCTGAACGATTTTTAGTAACTCTCCATGATGTGGTGGATCATGGAGAGTTACTCAAAAACGAACCATAATCAATGGTAGAGGATTCTGAAATTCAAAGTTCAAAATTTTTGAAATTTCGATGAAAATTGAAATTTGAAATAAGAGGATAATTCTCCAGAACGGCAGTCATCCCAACCTTCTGCGAAGAAGTGAACAGATGAGACACGTTAGTGGATAAAATTACTGAGACTAATCAATACAATGCCCTGACACCTCGGTGGGATAACCACTTGGGAGGTCGATTGATCGCTGACAGGGCAGATAGCCGGGGAAAACTATGAAAAGTCATAGAAAGTTGCATGAGGTGATTTTCATATGAATGAATAGCATTTTTCATGTGGATTCGAATGGTATGCCCGTTGGCTGGGATTTTCTTCCTATGGAAAGCACGTGTATTTTTTCTTTGAAGGGATCCCTGAAGTTGGCACCCGATAATGACAACCATTCTAAAATATGCCACTGTTTTCTACCAATTTTTCGGAAAGCACAAGGCCTTCTGTGCGTAGCCTTTTTATGGAACGCATTGGGCCACTCGGAGCGCTGGAAATTCCGTTTGAAAACGCTGAAAATCTAGCATTTGTCCTGGTATCGCACGAAGTGCTCACTTCAAGTGGCTGGAAAACCCTTATTTTTACTTCGTTCTTGACTTTTATGAATGTTGGGGGGAAAGAAGGCCCAATATATGACGCCAGCTGTGCTCATGTGGTTAGCACTAAACCCATGCTCGAGATTTTCCGATCTGAAAAGGCCATATCGTCCGAAAGTGACATCGAGCAAAACCCCTCTATTTTCAGAAAAAATTTGCACTGTAATGATCAGCATCATTTGAGAAACACAACTATCTAATTTTTAATCACTTCTTACGCGATACGGTACGTTTTTCATCCTTGAATTATTCGATTCCAAGCGAATGCCCCCTGGTTACAATTATAGCGAGACTCGCCCGCTAATGAGTGCCCGTAGGTACTTTGATGGAAGGCATAGTTCGAATTTGGGCATTTTCGAATTTTCAAGGGATCATCTTGTAGAGCTAAACGAGCTGAGTCCAACCGTACACGTTCTATGCTTAGGAAATGTCAACCCGAACTGAGTTATAGCGAAAAGACGAAAAAGGACGCGGATTCGCGTCTTTTTCGTCTTTTTTCGAAGGCTTAAGGTGGGTATTGTGCAAGTTGTGGGCACCCCAACTTTTGACTCTACCAGTACATCTCCGCTTTCGGCGAAATAGGACTATCCCTGTCGAATTCCTCGAGCACGGAAACTTCACTATATTTTACTTTGCGGCATCTTGTGGGCGACACTTTACACTTTTTTCGTAGTTGGAAAAAGCTCCTTTTCATTTATATCGTATGTTATATGTATTTATTTTTATTTTTTTGAGTGTTCTTATACTTTTGGTACAAAGAAACTTTCCAACGATAAAACAATGTGAAGTCGCCCACGAAATGTTGCGAAGTAAAGTATGCTGAGGTTTCTGTACCCGAGGGATTGAACTGTGTGGGCCCCATTTTCCCAGAATTAGAGAGGTGTTCCCACAGGTCAAAATTGGGGGGGGCTCCTTACACTTTATTACGCTTTGTAGCGAAGTGTAGTAACGATTGTTTTCCGGCGGAAGTAGTACAGTGGCAAGCTGCGCGCTCAGCACATGGTACGGGCTTCAAGCCTCGGATTGGCTCCGTCAGGACCAACCAGGCACTTCGTCCCGCGAGTCAGATTAATCGGTCCGATCTTGTCTGGAGAAACAAAAACATTGAGTTTTGAAGTATTCTCCAGCTTCTCTCTTCTTGCAACCTCGGCATGTTAGTAGTGAGTGTTCAATATTCTTGTGCCTTACGAGGTTGTTAGGTGGAACATTTATTTAATGGCCTAACGTTTCGACTTAATCGTCGTCTTCAGAGGCCTGAATGTGTTTCAAGCATTAGATATGCAACCTACCCCACCAAGCACCTCGTCAACTCTAGCGGTTTTGAATCAGCTGACCTGCTCAAATCACTGTATCGTATTCAAAGGACACTGTAATTCAAGTGGATGTAAATGTTGTCACAGTTTTCTGCATTTCCAACGAGGTCGAGTTGCGTCGAAAATACCGTTTCAATTTCTGCGGTTTCACCAGTCTTACTAGGTTGAAACATGAGAAGTAGCCAATTTAGCCATCTCATCATGGGAAAGGGCTACTCGATCACACACTGCAGGTGGGACTTGATCAGCATTCTCTTTCAACGATTATTCTTGCAATCGTGTTCATCTACTCAGGTCTACAGGGCTGGATGCGAAAAGCTGAATGACCACGTCAGTTTTCCAGTGGGCAGATGAAAGTGCTCATGTTTTCGTGTAAACCGAGACTTTTCACAGCGTAACCGGAGCTGCTAACAAGTGACGAGCTGAACTCTAGTTTTAAGTAACATAAGTAAATCGAACCAAATTCATAAACAAAGCAGTCTATGCACTAACCCATAAAATCCGTCATGTCTGCGAACTCACTATCTTCGAGTGCTTTACAATCCTTTAAGGGCAATTTGTGGTATGCCGTGAATGCTCTGAAGATCAGATCGAGAGAAGATGTCAAGCATGGGAACAACAAAGCTGATTATTACATTTCAGTAGCACGCTTTTTCGACAATTTCCCAGTTACTTGGTAATACGCCACTTTCATCAGCTGAAATTCTAGTGAGCAAGATGTTTTATAAAAAAAGGAAGAACGAAGTAAAACCTTGAGCCAGAAGCGTTTTGCTCCCCTCGGCAACCCTAGAAAATGATCTTTCAAGAAGTTGAATGTTCTTCCTTCACGACCGCTAATACTTCCCATCTGCAACAATCGCTTCAAAATATGATTTCTACGAAATGCAAGGAAAGGTATTCATGTCAAGAAAGTCCATTTTTTCTCCCCAAAGCCATTCAGCAATTCCTAAAAATTCGAAGTGTTCTATTAACCAGGACTATTAGGATATTAGGACTATAGGAAGTTTTTTTCATCCACTTCATGTGGGTCTGGCTCCATTAGGTCCTTTAGAGGACTAAAGGTGGTCCCGTGAATATCTACTTGACAAAACCCAGGGCTAAGTCACGTGCAAAGGGCTTCATTCTGGGCTGGCAGGAGCGAAATTAACAAAAAGCATACGCGCCACTCAGCCACAGGTGCTCAGTTCAGGCCGTATTTCCGGTAGGCAACCAAGTTATGATGGTTCTAGCTCTCTCGAGACTGATCAATGAGTAGGTTGTCCGTTGGTCGATTTCGTTATTGAAAATCACTCTCAGTTTTATCACTCTATTCTAAAGCACTAACTTTGTGTGTCGGTTTGTCGGTATGTATGTATGTATGTATGTATGTATGTATGTATGTATGTATGTGTGTCTGTCCGTCCGCAAAATGCTTCACGGAATTTAACATGAAATTAAAAGGAGAGAATGACCGCTAGCCAATCTTTCTGGTGCAGATATATCAATCCAGTGTTTTGATTGCGACAACTCCACTGGATAAGACAACCACTTAGGTTAGTGCACTGTGAGCCATTACACGGGTTGCTTGCAGCGCAGGGAACTGAGCACGGAAGTGCAGTGGCACGACAGAGTACGCAGAGGCGGGGGGGGGGGCACGGAGAATAGCTACGGCGACGGGGTTAGGTAGGGGTGAGGCGGAAGAGCCGAGGTTAATGGGGAGGTAAGATGGTGAAGGGGGGGGGAGGAGAGTAGTGGGGTACGCTCACAGAGGATGACGCCTGTGGGCACAAAAGCATAAGTGAAAGCGATATGTCGAGAAAGGGGAACCCGCCGCTGGCAGAGTTGCTAACCAATTCATGTCGTGGTATCAATTCGAGGTAATGTTTTGAATGTGATATCACCCTTTTACTTCAAACGTTTGAGTACTGATGAAAACGAATAATACGGGACAAGGAAAATGTACAACTAACGTACGTAGCAAAAATATTAGCATCTGCAATCTTTGTGCGATATGCTCGAATGGATTGCATGGTAGAAAAGGTAGCAGAAAAGGTGAGCGCTGATCGGTAGACGTTTCGATGCAGGTAATGAAGCGAGTTTTATGCTTCTACTGAGCGATTCATAGTGCGCTGTATTGAAAGAGTGTACCTTCTATCTATATCTACAGATCTATGTATGGTATGGGCGTTATGGCCCATAGGACCACCCTTCTACGAGCAAACTTTGACTCAAGATTCGCTGGGTCTCTATCTGTAACGATTCGTTCAACACAGCGCAGTATGAGCAACTCAGTGAAGGACAATCTGTTTCCATTACAGCGTGCGGCTGGGAGGAAGGCCAGCCCGGTAAAGCCGGGCTAAACGGAAGGAGGAGAGCTCGGCTTAAGCTGACTGTTGTACTCATAAGGATAGAA